GACAGTTTCCAAGATGACTACTTCTTTTAAGGCATTACCTTTTTTTCTTATGAAACCAAAAAGTCTTTTGTAAACTCTGCTTTTCTTTAGAGGACAAAGAGCTTCTAATGCTTTAGGCTGAACACAAATTTAATGAGTGAACAGATCTAATAGGAACAAAGAAATTTATACCACCTGAACAAAAGGTGCTGTCATCTTCATTACAAACTCTCATTTCTACAGTGTTTGGACAAAGGCAGGAGAGAAAGTTAATTGTGACACTTCAGATACATTCAAACCAAGTTCTATTCGGCTTCAAAATTAAGCAGTGTGGTAGTTAAACTCTTGAAACAAAGCCCTGCAATTAATTACCACTAACACATACAACTACCATGATGCATACACATATGTAAGAAAGGCAAATCACAACTGAACAGGCAACACTAGTTTTTAGCATTATTTAACTCAAGTGCTTGAATTTACAGCCTTCCGTATTCTTTAAAAGGTAGCAAGGTGTATAATTATTTTTTTTAATTAGCACAGTAAGACATACCATTTGTTAAGTACCATTTACTAGGAACACATTGCTGATAGCTGAAGTGTTCCTGACCGAACCCATGGATTTCTGCTGGCATAAACAGTACTAACAGGGCAAACCCGAACTAAAAATTTGTTTCAGGTTTACTCTGTTCTGTATCTGATCTCTGCACTTAATTAAGAAATGTTATCATACAGCCACACTGGTAGACATCTAAGTTCTACCATCCGGTGATGCAAAGGAACTCCGGAAAGATGCTGTTGATCTCTTTTTCTGCTTCTCCTGGAATATCAAGTATTACCATGCCTCCCTCCATCTTTAACATGGGTTCTCATAAAGAGATGAGTCAGCGTGTATTTGCTCAGAAAACAAAGTTTTTCTCACCCACAGCAATTAAAAAAAGTTGACATAACCTTTTGCTGAGTGTAAGTACTTAACAGAAATACACTATTATCAAGAGTAGACAGCACAGAATTATTGCTGTTCCTGCCCCCTTCTGATTTTTTTTTTTTTCAAAAGGCAGCTGAAGTGCAAAAAATAATGCTTTGTGCCAGCATTCTCTGCCATAGGAAACAAAAGTTTTGCAAACCATAGATTGAGCCTTTATGTCCAAGGCTGTTGCTCTGCAAGGTTCATACACTGCTTCTCTGCATCTCATGATGAAACAGCAGCAACACATCACTTTTCCTTTCCACTGCTGCTCTGTCGTTCTGCCATCCTTCTTCCAAGGCAGGCACAAACCATCCTACCTTCAACTCTTATGCTACTGGGTAAGGTACTTCCTTAATTCACTTCGAACTATTGCCATGGTGACACACTCCATCTTCCTGGCCACTTGGTTCCCATATAAGACAGACAGAAATTAAAAGAAAGGACCTTGATGAAAATAGGTGCAGTGAGGTGAATGAGATCACTATCACAGACACAGAAATGTGCTTTCTACGCACCACTAGCTTTAACATCAGAACAACCTGAAGGAACATCAATATGTCAAAGACCTACTAATGAGACCAAGTAACAAGGAGAACAGAGAAAAATTCAAACAGTCAACTCCTCTGTGGATCTCCTCAGAAAAAAGACCAACTTTCCATTTGACACAACTTATCTGCCAGTAGTTGGATACGTTTGGGGTGGGTGGCAGCAATCACAAAAAATGAAATATTAATGACTAAAAAAAATCTGTGACTAGTACAACCCTCCACATCAAGCATGCAGCAAGGAAGACAACCACACACACACAAAAACCCACCCTTAAAGATAATTGCAGATGAGGAATGCTAAATAATTATAATACCTTATTATTCTTGTAACACCACAACAAGGAACAAGAACAGATAAGCAGAGAATACAAACTGAACATGCCCCCCGTTCAGTTCAAAACAGAGTTCAAGGGAACATTCAGTTTTCCTTTTACATTACTTTGATCATTTTTTGAAGGAGAGACAGAAGAGAGATAAGGTTGCTGGGAAAACCATTTGACAGAAGATTGAAATAAAGCTGTTAGTTTAATGACACTGGTGTGTTACTGTATTCTATTTGCATAGACCTCTCTTCAAATATAACTATAGATACATTTTATAACAAGAAAGGTTCTTTGTTAGGGCTTGACAAAGCATGAAGTATGACAAAGAGCATTTTTGGAGCAGAGGAGCTGCTCGTAGAACTCATGCAAGCAAAATTAACAGGAGCTGCAAGTTTCAAACAAGCCAGGAGTGCAGATCACTTACAGTATGGTCAATGAGAAACAGAACAGCTCCCTGGATCTCTGTTTGGTAAAGCAGCTACAACAGCGTATCCGAAACACTATTAACTGCTTTCAATTAGTCTTCCTGAGAAACCTCGCACAACACTGCAAACACTAATGTGGTAACTTGTAACAGAGATGAAATCTTTTGGAGATAAGACTCTGCTAGGTAAGTGTGGCCCCCTCTTCAAACAAACAAAAAAATCCATCCTGACAACTGTCTACCTAGATAAATGCCAGCATTACAACCTTCACGTATTTATACAGCTTGTTTTTTGTCAGTATCAGAAAGCCTGACAACTGTAATTACCTCCCATTAGAAACTTCAAAAGTGTCTTCCTCATACGATCTCCAGAAGCAAAAGTTTCTAAATTTGGTTAATCTAAAGAGTTAACTTTGAATGTAAGAAATTAGTTTGAATAATTTCATAAGCACATATTTGAACAGGGGCAAAGAAGGAAAGTTAAAGTACAACAAAAGGCAATCCGTTTAATATCCTATCGATCAGCTGAACACAGAACTCTCCTCACTGAGACTATCAATTAGAACAATTGCTCCCTTGGGCAAAGTGGAAGTCATTCTTCCTTGCCCTGGTATTAAACAATATACAGAGATTTTACCGAGTAATCTCTTTTGTCCAACCTTTTCTCCCAGGTGGAGACTCTAGCAGTTTTAAGCCATTGCAGAAGTTTCAGAGTTCCACAATGCCACACGGGTCATTCCTGCATAAGGCAATTTCAGATTCAAGTTCACTCTTACCATTTCTGACATGTCAAGTTCCATCTGGGCAGGGACTATCCTCAGCAGGAGACGCGTGAATCTGAGACAGAAACCAACAGCACGTGTTCCATACGTGTCCTTTTCCTATAGTGTTTTGAAAGCTGATATTTCAGCTGTAGTCAGGAGGTTTGCATTCCTCATCCCTGCTATAATGCTGCTATCTGCGTTTCCTAGATCAACTCTTCTTGCACCATCACGCCACACGCATGCCAAGATGCGGAGACAGTGAAAGTCAACGGCTTTGCAAGAGTTTTAAATGTAATGAATTTTCCTTTAAAAGTTCAAGTCAAGAATTACATATTTGTAATTTGTTTTGCTCTGAGTTTACATTCAAGTTGAACTTGCACTCTATTAAATCATCCCGAAAACCAGCATCAGTTTTACCACCTAGAACTGCTTTACCAGAAATTCTTGGGCAGGGTGGCAACACAGAAGAACAGGACTAAGCTTTCATTGCAGAAGCTGAGTTCTACTCTTAACCATCACAAGCCAAGGAAGTTTGACTGCAAACACCTTTAATATGAATACAAAATTCACATAGGATATACATTCTGGGGAACATAAATGAACAAGAGATTCTGACAGAACAAAAACATAAAGAAGGCTCTGTCAGGCCAAGAGTTTAATGAGGAATGATTAAAAAGTTTGATTTACAGTTACATTACAGTTGTGTTAAGCACTGAAAACTTTAAGAATGTCAGCTGAAAGGCATTTGAACATACAGTACATAAATCATACAATCCACACTGTTGTAAATAACGTATTTGAAGTATTTCATTTTACTTAATAGAACACAAAGCAACATAACATGTGCAAATGAGGACTCCAATATACTGAATTTAAAATGTCTATAATAAAATTGACATAGAATTTTACATGTAAGGACTACACAACTGATGGAGAAATTAAAAAACATCCTCCATGTTACTACCGTGACTGAAGTATGCTTCTCAATTAAATAGAAAATCCATACTGGCCCGATTCCTTCTCTCAAAATCATACCTGTCCACAAAGGTTAACTAAAGCTTTAACTTGCTCTAAGAGTACAATGAAACAGCATTTATACAGTCTCCTCCTTCCCCTTGTTGGGAACTGACAAACCATTATGTGAGAGCGTTCTTGGATTATGTACACTGGTGGAAAATACTATCTTATAAAAAGGCACATACCTGTGATTTAAGGCTAGTACGGTATTTGTTTCATAGAGAAAGTAAAATTTTAAATGAAATTAGTACATTGCATGGTTGGACTCACTCAGCAAACCACTTGGTGCAAAGCAAAAACGTGTGCTTAGAAGCCTCAGACTGACAAGTGATTCTTGCTTTAGTGTTTTACTTTTTTTTTTTTTGAACCTATGATGGAAAGGTACATCTTTTAAAAAGGCATTTGCTGCACTTCCACTAGTCAATGAGCCATCTGCTACTATTGCCTTATACGCAGATATCGCATATAGGCTTCATATTAATTATCTGCAAAATATTATTTTAACTCTCTCCTTTTTAAAAGTCATATGAAAATTACTAAAGATGTTTTCTATATTCATCTATAAAATACCAGATGTTGGTACAAATCATGTAAACCTCTGTTTGGAAATATTTTGACTAGCCACCAAAATGACCAGAAATCAGAAATATCATTTGTCAGTGCAAATCTATAATAGTTTTATTTTTCCTCTCTCCCTTCCTCCCCCCTTCCTCCCCCATCCCAGATGCAGAAATAACCACCAACCTTTACATACAAAAGGAGTGCTCTATATTTGAAATGACAGAAATTATGTTTGGTTACTATAAAATAAAGTCACCCACTTTCCCACTAAATTCAGTTTTACAGTATCATAAAAAGGGGGAAAAATTAAAGCTGTCTGTGCAAGAATCACTACAACAGTCCTTCAACCCCAACCCTTAATTATTATCAGATTTAAGATTTTAGGTTAATATTGGGTCCTCTTCTCTGATCCAATTACTGTTCTTCAAGCCAGGATGGGGCATCTGCTCCAGGAGTTTTCAATTTGATGTGGAACTGTTTAAGTGTCTGTTCAAGCTGCTTTTGATTCCCAGCAAAGTATGCTGCAATGGCATTGTGGAACAGAACAAGCTGATTGTGCAAGACCTTAACCTGCAGGCAAGAGGACAGAGATAGATTAAGAGGAGGCAGCAGATGTTAACATCATCACAGGTCAGTTATCAAAAAAAATAGTCTGAGATACTCAGACTTCATACAGGCTTATTTAATAAAAGTTTAAAGCTACAAATACAAAATACAAACACAAAATTCTTGAACATTAAAGCAATTTAGAGTTTTCATAAAGTATGTTTAACAGTGAATACCAACTCAGTATGCGTGGACCAAAAGCAGTTCACTAAACAGCATAACATTATCAAGTATCAAACATCAAACACTTGATTACAAGGACTTGATTCCTTGAAATTAGATGCCAAACCTCTGCTTAAGATACCTATCTGCAGGTCAAATGGACTTCCCTGAGACAGTACATGACAAATGCATTATCGAAGTATACAGTTCATTTATTTGTCCCCCTTGCAGACAGTTGCTGTTTTCCACCTCGCATACACTAAGTCAAATGAAATAACGTTCTATTCCCAGCAGCATTTCTTGCCCATCTCCTGTAACACAGGATTATTTACAGCACTTGGTCAATATCTTGACTGTAACATTTGTGCAAAGTAGTCATGAAACACACAAGCCACAGCAGTAATTAAAACTTGGGGAGAAGAGCACAAGAGCAGTTGGAGAGCATTGCTATTTTTCTCATTCAGTCTAGTCTATGATGACAAGCTATAGTACTGATGAAGTAAAAGTTAAACAAAAGTTATATTTTCATCCTAGTACACCAGTAAACCTGAAGTTGTGAATGATGAATACTGAAAAGGCATCCGTCCAGTTTCTCCTGCAGCCAAAACTTGTCCTTTCTGTTCTTGAGCATACCCTCAGCCCGGCACAACCTTACTCTTGTGTCAGAGCCCAAACCCCTAAGGTAGTGGCCCTGTGCCTGTTTTCAGCCTACAAGACCTTGAGCCCAAAAGCATCTGGCCAACACAGAAGAGAACAGAGAAACAGGGTGGGTGGCTGAGCCCAAAGGGAGGATGTGGCAGGTAGCAGATTAAGCTTTCTCTACTCCAATTTTGGATCACTGCCTCATCTCTCAGCACAATCCACAAGGGACAGTCTACTCCTGGCATGCTGGGAAGCGACACTGTCCTTAGGCCTATGTCTACCAGTTGGCCCTGCCTGTTTTAACAGGTTACTTGGCTAACATGCTTTTCTGAAATGCATGTGACTCAATACTGAAGTACTTTATTGCCTTCATTTAAAGAAAGATCTCAAATTAAAAAAAACCCCAACATATATTAGACATGCTATTACACTAGGAGAGTGCAACATTTACATTATTACACAGAAATGTAATATACTTTAAAAATAAAATATTTCAAGGCAAAAAGGGCTGAATGTGTTGCGTGTGCATACACACACATGTATATAAAAGTTTCGGCACTAAACATTGAAATACCCTTTATGAGTATACAACAATTTATTTTTTACTGAATAGTCTCATTTTACAAATTAAGTTTTGCCCATAAACTGACAACTCTACAGACCTACTCTACTTAAGTGATAACTTCTCTTTGGTGACCAAAATTTTGGTCTAAGTTGCTCTGCCAATTTGAAAACTGGTATCCCTATGTTTTCTCCCCTAATAATTCAGGCTAATTTAACTAAATACATGTCATAGGCTTTTTGCCTCACTAATGGTGTAAAATGGTAGGTTATTCCATCAAAAGGCTCTCTAAGAAAAAAACATGAGATGTGTGTATGGTTAGAAAGGAGTTCACCAGGCACATGGTATCTTAAGACAATGTGGTTTTTTTCTCATTTGCAATAGACTTCACAAAATTCATCACATACAGACATTTTAACATTTAAGAGATGTAGAATTTAGCTAACTACATTTGTTCAACAACATAGTTCAGCTTTTCCAAGTCATAAAAGACGGCCTCTTTTTCATTTGGTGTGGGAATATTTGTATATAAAGATATGCATTTTTTTAAGCTGTAAAATTTTTCATCTCAAAAGTATTATGTCATACAAGTGGAAAACGTCACAACAACATAAAGGGTTTGCTCGTGAAAGTTTAGAGGGAAAAAAAATCTGTTCTTTTGCAGACTCTTTCATCATCGACACGCAATACTTCACACAGTCCAAGCTAGGAATCCTCCACAGAAGCACACTCACTGCTCTAGCATACTATTAAAATGCTACAAGAGTTTTATTCATACTGTTTATAGGAACTCAAATAAAACAGAGGTAATTAACCCACCCTCCCAGCCCAAGTTCATCAATTTGAGACCAAAATTGGTACTTTGCTAGGGCAGCTTTTAACACAAATCTTCTATGAACTACCCTGAAGTCTTCTGCTAATTTCTTACGTTCAGTCAGGCCCAGGCTCAAGCATGTGTGCAGACACACACAGAGGCAGGAACTGACAGACAATTTGGACTGAAAAAATATGTTTTGTTTTGGTACGGTTTTTTGAACCACCAGAGCTACCTCATTGTATGAGGTTCTATCCCCAAGCCAGATAATTGTGGTGTAAATTTTGTGATCATTATCAAACTGGTTGCAGAGGTTCAAAGTGTTACAACTTCTGCTCTCCTCCTTGAGAAGCTGATTGTTAAGTGAATCCCAAAAGTGATTGTAGAATCTTATCCATAGCTTCATTTGGGTAACTTTAAGACTAAATTTCTAGAACAAGTCTACTTAAACTGTCTGACACTGTACAAAGAAGCTCTACTATGAAGCAGCAGCCAGCCAAGAGAAAAGAAAAAAGCTGTAACATCTCAAATCACCTAATGTCTACTGCAAAAACACCTGCAATCACAGCTAGGAACTGGGCAACTATTCGCTTTAAGCCAAGTCCAAACCTAACCAGTTTCCTATGAAAGAACCTCAGCCTTACCCACTCCCATATCCAGCCATTGATTCCTACTTCCACACTGTGTTTCACCTTAGCCCTCTGTTGGCAAAACATTCATGCAGTTATGTAGTCAGTTGGATCAGGGAACAGATCTAGATTAAAACTAACCAGACAACAACATATTTGCTTTAACCTGGATGAGTTCCCCAATCTGATTCTCTGCACAGCTGCAAAAACACTTCTGTAAACACAACAGAGAAAGCAATGTGGGGGAAGGGGGATAGAGGATGAAGAGACTATTTTTTTTTTTTTTTGCAGCAAAGCTTTGAGGTAACTGTCAGGCTACAGTGCTAAAGGCCAACTCTTGAGCGCTACGCTGTAGCACCTATTCCAGAAATGAGCATTTGAAGATTTGCCTTTCAGTAAAAGAATGTTAATGGTATTTTAGCAACATAAAGCTTCTAGTGCATGACATGGCTTGTCAAAGAGCCACCATGTTTTACAGTTTAACATAATTTACAAATCATTGCTCCGTGTTCATTAACTACATATACCTAATGTTCCCAATTATGAGCAAAGTAAGAACTCTATTATAGACTTGTCAAACTTAAGTCTCAAAACAAAACTGGATAAGCATAAAAATGGGCATGCCCTAAAGAAGAAAACTTAAGTTTCCTATGCATAAGATACTGTAGGTTGGATTTGAGTTTTCATGCTTGTTCTGGATGCTCTTAACATTTAATTTCTTTTTCAATATTGTCCTCTTCCCCCCACATCCCTCCGAACACCATATTTTCTGTGGCACAAGAAGTACGCATTTCTTTACATCCTCCTCATTCAGATCATTTCAGCCATCTCAACGACCAAAAAGACTATCCCCATTCTAATATTTGTCAGTTTGTACCTCCTCACAACTATCACAATCCTTTCCCCTAGCTATCTTTATTTGAAGTTATTTGGTCTAAACAGTTATGTCATCTGGGTTTTCATTAGACTGCATGTTGCTTTCGTTTGTAGAAGCAAGCATCAAACTCCTGAAGTACATTCAACTCTCAGAAGTGCATTCCATTTCTTTCTTTACACAGGAAGAGTTGACATTTGTCAAGCACATACATGAGTAACAATTTTTCCTTTCTCAAAAAGACAACGCCTTTTCAAAAACTTTTCAGTGGCAGAAATCTTTAAGCTACGAACAGGTCACCATCTTTAATAAACAAAAAAATGTAACCATTTGTAAGCTACAGATTTTTGATTGCAGCTATTCTCACACTCATTATCCAACATCACAAACTTCTACAGAACTCTGCCAGCTGGGGATAGCACCAGTATAACTTTGCAGCAACATTAAAAAAAAAATCAGTTCTAACTTCAAGATCAAACACTACAATGAAAGTGAACAGAAATCTTGTATATCTTGATTTTACAGACAGAAACTTGCAATCCCAGCTTCACTGTAATTCAGTTATCTGAACCTATGGGGGCTTTTAATTGAAATATTAACATATGAACCCAGGAAAATGGGCACAGAGACCACAACTACATGATGCCTTTTTTCCCCCTGAATGTAGGGCTAACTAGATTATGGCTGTCTGGTGACATTTGCAACAATACAAACCAACCCGAGCCCACCAGCCAGTTAAACTGGTTTTATAGTTCCTTTGCAGTTACAGCTTGAATCATCTCCCAGTTTTCCCTGCTCTCCTTATATGTCATGCTTAACCAACCATGGGGCAAAACTTTTGAGTGAGAACATAACTAAGTGCATCTAGTGGAGGTACTTTTAAAAAAGAATATCTAGGATTCTGTTTTGACATTAATTTGTCAGGCAAAAAACCAAACAATTTATTCTTTTTAAATGCTTAATATTGGTCGGTCTGTAAAAACATATTTATTGGAGATAATCATGAATGAATTTATCTAATCTAAAATTAAATCCTAAATTGCTTAATTGCTTTGCTATAGCAAGGTTTCATTACACAATTCTACTTTCAACACAGAAGTGATAATAACCACCAGGCTTGAGACTACACCGTACTACAGTCTGTATCAAGATATACAAGACAAAACCTAAAGATTTAAAATCTACTATAGAAAAGTTATATGGCTACCACACCATTTTCTTACCTAGAAAGGCATCTCAAATTACACTCAGAACAAATATTAATTCACATCTGGTTTGAGCACTATGACAATACGTATTAATAAAGTTGATGATTAGAGATGTGCACGTTCTCGTACATCATAACATGAGTCTGGCAAGGCCATGCCTCGATATCGCTGCTCAGATACGAACCCTCATCTGCCCTGTATGCAATAAGCTAGTAACAAAACACAGGCTTTAAAAAACAAAAAGGCCCTTTGTGAGAGTCTGAGTAAAACTAGAATTTTGTCCATCTGATTATTTTCATCTCCCATTCTTGCAAATAGGAATCAATATTGTCCTGGGGATAGACACACAAAATGGCAAGTTCTGTTACTAAGGATATAGTATCGATATAACCAGTATAATTGCCTCCCCTGGACTATTGTAACATTTTAACAATATCAAAATCACTCTTCCACGTGGGAGTTTCAACATCATCTATGGTCTTCAGTTTAAGTCATCTCCTAAACAGTGCACTACTCCCACAGCTGAAGCAGCTGTGTTACAGACACACTTATGCAGCTGTACCCATGTGCTCTTCCTCCTTTCTTCTCCTTCTTGTTAGGCACATGCTGTGTTTATAGATGTCTAAATTATGATGGATCATGGCAATTGTTATCATATACCTTTGGAAAAAGTAGAACAACTGAGATTATTAAATCTAACTGAAATTTAAATTAGTTTCTATACTTACTGATCCTATAATTATTGAGTTAATAACCCTTTAAAATGTAAAAAGGAATTGACTTAAGAGCAGTATGGGGCTAAAAATTGAAACTAACATTTATAATGGTGATATAGTTGTCTAGCAAATCAGTTGTGCATTCAGATTTCTTAATACTCGCTGCAGGTCTAACAGGAGCTCCCCTCCACTGACATTAACAAAATGGTTGACACCAGAAAATGAAATAAAGATGTCAGATTAGTAAGAACATCATCTCTCAGATAATCACTGCCTCCCATTGCACCCCAGGAAGCATTCTGGGCAACAGAACAAAATCCATCAGAGACAGATGCAAACTGGAAAAAAAAGTCCTCCTAAAATGAAAATTTCAGATTAGGATTAAGATTTCATATTGTTTACTATGGAGAATCCTATACAATAAATACAAAACACCAAAGTAAAGCTTACTCGAATAAAGTTCTTAGTAGATAATTATATTTAAGCTAATATTTGATTGTAAAGGAAGTCCTTTCTATGGCTCGTTTGGGAACAAAATTACATACACCCTTTAGAAAAATATTTTGACATCTCTAGTGTAAAAACTGAGAAATGTCATCCAGTGATAAAAAGGCTTAAGGATGTGAAAGTCCCCTCTGTATTAATCGAAAAGAAAAGGCAGGAAGGAAAAAACAATCTCTTTCAGAAACAAAATTTGTAGGCTGTGACTGCTAACAGGATGCTTGATCTAATTCAAGACTGTCACTAAGAAGACAACTTCATAGTGTTCTCTAAATCATGTAATTTCGTTTTTTAAAAAAATACAGAAACTTTTTTTGTACAAGATGGAAATAAAATGCTTTCACTCTAAAGCTTTCCCATCTGTATAAACATAAAATGACCAATCTGCTATACAGTTAACACAAATCAAGAGGAAGCAGGGTAAGTGCTATTTTCAACCAATTTGAACTTAAGCATCAGAATTCCTGTACAGATATAAACTGGAAGGATCAAACAATTTCAATAGAAGCACATTACACTAGTACCAAACAACTTACTAGCAGGTGAAAACAAAGGCAGGGAGGGGGAAGAGAGACCTTCAGTATACCCATTTTCAACCTAGCATAGTTTTAAAGCTCAGTTCTTATCAGCACTTTCTAATTTAAGTATCAGCATTTAGATTAGACTTCAGCTTGTTTTAAAAAAATAATTTATAGATGGATTTTTTCCATTTGAAAGTTAATGGGCAAGAAGTTCAGCAAGAACAACAAATTAAAGTCAGGGCAATATCTGATGATCTCCTTCATCAACTCTTAATGGCTATGTGATTCTAGACCCCTGGTCCTGATGCAAATGTCTGTATGAAGTAACAGTGCTAAGGAGTTTTGTTTCTAGCATATATCGTTTTGGAAAACAAAAGGTTTGTTGATTTTCTTCACTTTTTTCTTCTTCTCATCTGTTGACAGTTCATGTTTCTTCCCTTTCTTCCATCTTTATTCTAAGTAGTTGACACAACTATATAGGTGATAATATATATTCAAGAATTCAGAATAATAATCAGTCTGAATTGGTTTAGCTTGTCCCCATGATTTTCCCCTGAAGTTTCCTCTTTCCACACAAGGAGCGTGGTTTGCTACTGTCATCATTTAGGGCCACTCCTGTATTGTCTGACAGGCAGTTGTTACCTACATTCAGATCTTTAAAACATATGATGAATTAACCCATACTGAAAATGTTAATTGACTGCTAGACATGGACAAACTACTATCTTTTTTGCAAGTTTAAATCATATTTCCATCTCTCTGAAGACACAGGAAATATAGTGATGATTGTTACAATTTCATTTACTATGAGCATGAACAAAAATCAGATCTTGAAAGACCATTATTTTTACATCTAATTAGAAACAATTTAGAAGGACTTGTTTATAAAGAAAGCACAGTTTAAAAGTGCGTTCTGTATAGCAATCCTATTTTTGTTCTGTATAGTAATTCTATTTTGTCTATAAGAGGGGTAAGAATTCCATCATTAAGAGGGTATAGATGAAATGGTATGGTTGGAATAAACATATATGGGGCAAAAAAACCCCAGTCTTCAACAGCTCAAGAGCCCTGTTTAGAATTAAGAAACTATAAGGGCATCAATTATAGAAAGTTGTATTTCTCAATTCACGTTACTAGGTTAAAGTTTTCGTCTTAATTTTGAAGATGTCTCTTCACAGTTCTCACTTTCATTGGGCATATCCTCCATAACAGTGTTGTCAAATGTACATATTACTATGAATCTTAAATCAGTAGTTATATGACTCACTTAACCATTAAATAAACTGGAAAAGTAATGCTTTTCCAAACTTGAAACCTCCTATATCAACAAGAAACTTGCTGCTGTAATGTTTGCCATTTGTAGCTGCAGCAGCTTGATTAGGGACTTTTAAGGTTGCCTAGTCTAAAAGTCTGTCCTCCGGTGATACAGCCAGAACTCAGAAAATTCAGCTTATTGTCTTCTCTCACTCTACTTTTAAATTAAGATATATTTTAAGATATAACAACTGAAGTATTTCTAGCAAAGCAGAAACTTACAAGACAAAACTCCTCAATATAACATCAGAAGTTGTAGCTTACCTTATTTTCTTCCAAAAATTTCAATTTGATAGATACATCATTACGCATTTTGTCATATTTCTCTTTATGCACTTGAAACAGTTGTTGTGATTGCTCAATCTTTGGCAGAGTGTTTGCATCACGAGGGCCAAGATTCAATTCTTCTAGGTCTGTTCGATAGGCATCATATTCAATCCTGAGAAGAGGAGGAGGGAAAAAAAAAATCTAAAGGCAAAGTGTCTCAAAACAGACCTCACCTATAGGGTCAAGTACAATAGAAGATGAACAAAACAGTCGAGTGCGGAAAAAATAAAAAAAGGGCAAGTTTTCTTCTCCCCCTCTCCTGTTCATCAAGTAAACCCACTCAAGTATATTGTATAAAGCGACCTCAATAAGTATCCTCCCTCTTCTGTCTCTGTCTCAGCCACATGCTCCCAACCCTTTGTTTTGTGCTGGCTTCAGTAGTCAGAGCCTTCCCTGGGACACCTCAGTTAATTAACCCAGGGAAGCTAGTAAATTTTTTTTTTTTCAGGTTCTTCTGCTGTTGAATCAGTTCAGTGAAGAGTTTGTGTTGAAGGCAAAAGAAGCACCAGGAGCAGGACATCCCCTTTAAGCAGATGTTTAAGCAACAGCTCACTTCTGCCAAACTCTGTCCCAAGGCTTTTTCAGCATGCTCTAGGCTTCTCTGTATGCATTAATTGGAATAGTTTTATAGTTCTTCAACAGATAATTTTGCAAGAACTTGCCTGCCCTATGGATAAACAGGCTGCAAAAAGATGATGTGTTATTTATACTCTACTGAAGGCCTATCTTATTTTCCTAGGGAAGTCACTCTGTGGATCAGTACCACCGCTGAAGGAGACAAGGGAAGAGAAAGAGAAGGTTAAGACTAACAGCCAGGTAAGTAAGCTAATTATGCACCCAAGGTATACATCCCATTTCCAGATAAGAGAGATTAAAAGTATTTTCTGATTTACTCCTTTTCTCCCCAAATTATCTACCCTGGATACTGGTAACAAAACCAGAACTGATGTTACGGTACAGGCTATTGCCTTCAGATACCTGACAACATTTTAATTGAACCAGATAATCTTCATATAACCCTAACTATTTAGAAAGTTATAAACCTCCTTGATATCCTTCCATACTACACTGTACCATTTTATTACATGAATAGAGATGAACCAGTCATACCTTCTTTCTCATTTTAACGGAAAAAATCAAAATGTCTTGGAAGTTTTTTTTAATACAGAAATAAGTTTGAATATTCAGTTTTGTCTTCAAAAACATTTTTTTTTTCCAAGAAAGTTTATTGAAGTTAAGCTTTCTATTCATCAACGTATAGCATTTATGAGTGTGAAAACCACTCATGGAATGTTAGTAGTTTAGAGATTGTATCACTAAATTAATCTTCTGCTTTCCAGAGTTACACACAAGTCTACTGAATGCTGGATGCTTGCCAGATAAACTATTTATATATTTTAAAAACATTATTGCAAGTGGATGAGACGAATGTAGTAACAGCCTCTTTTTTCTTCCTCCTCTCATGCAACATCTGCTCCCTTGTTCACATTCATCTAGCACTGGACCAGGTAGAGCAACAGACAATAGTCAGAAATCACTCCAAGGTCATGGGCAGCCCTGCCCAAAGCCTGACTTCCTTCCATACTACTTTGTAGCTTTCAAATGAAAGAACCTGGCCTATCAGCATGTGATAAATGCCATTTTTAATGGAATAAACCAGCCTATTCTGGCTTTTCAAATATGCTTTTTCTCACAGACATTTCTAAAACTGTAAACAAATCAGGATTAAAAACTGCTTATAAAAAACAACTTTTCAGTTGGTATAGCCGCTCCAAAATGAAATACAATATTTTCGGAAGTAAAAGGAGTAATATTCACAGGGTTCTTCCTGATTCTCATTGCCACTATGATTCAGGTTTTATTCAAGGAGTTTATAACTTAATTCCAAAAAGGAATGAAACCAATAATGTTGATAGAAGAGAGGAACAGATGAATGCTGAAGTGCAACTGGGGACAGGGCAAAAGAGGCACAGAAATAAGTGTGACCTATTTTCACCTTGCAAAATGATGGACTAGCTATGTAAGTGAAGAACCTTTGTCATTTATTTAACCTCACTGAAGTAGCAAAATACTTGATTTCTTTAATGAACAGAAAGGGAAAGTAATAAAAGTATTTCAGGAGGGAATAACTATATATTGAAAATTACTAGCAAGAACAATCACAGCAGATGTATTTTGCGTAAATTTTCAAGGGGATAGCTGGAAAACGTGTGAACAGATTTATGTATTTATTAAATACTTCCTTGTCAAAAAATAAAGCAAAGTGTTATATTAATTCTGCCTTTCATGCCTTTTCGAAGTTTACCTAAATATCAAACCGATAACTTACTATTTTTCTTATAAGCAAGCATTAGAACAGAAGGATTAAAAAAAATGGAGGGAAAGAACTTCAAAACTTATGCAGTTTGCAATTTTTGACCTAAAAAAACATCAAACAAACCCACAAAAAACTCTACGCATAAATTATATTCTTTGACAAATTAAAAGAAAACACACTTTATCCTATTAAGTGAAATAAAATCAAAATGGAATCAAGCATCCGAAAGGACCACAAGTCCAAACCCTAGTAGAAGAAATGAAACTGGCTTTAGAGTACTATGCCACATCCAAAAGTAACCTTCTCCAAGGTAGGAAGCCCATTTTCTACTGCTAGATGTTATTCACTGACTAAGAAATTTCTTTTTCATTTTCCCATTTCTGATCGAGCCTGCAACTTCTGCACAAAAACTGAAGTGTGAATTGCATGTATTGTGTATCAACAGAAGCACAAGATTAAATGTTTTTGAGTCAAAGAGATTATTTAATCTTTTACAATGTAGTTGGATAAAAGAGTTAATCTTGCACTGTCATGCTGTTTAGAAAGCCACCTTAATCTAGCACGCAGGAAAAAATAGCTATAATTACTCCTGGAGCTAACAAGTAAAATGAAGTCTACACAGAATATTTATAAAACATTGGAAGATATGTGCAATGAAGCAGTTAATGGTAAATCCTAATTATACCAGAGTTGTGTTGTAAGGCTCTATCTGGCAGGTTAGTCACTCAAATACAAGGACTAAGATGATAGAAATTCTGTTTCCTGAAGATTAGTTTGTAATGAAAATAGCTAGACATAGAATAGCTACCTGGCACTTTCATACTGTTTCACAGTCAATAATGTATCCTCAATTGTTTTATTCACCAATGTATTCACACTGGCAATAAAAAAGTTAATAGCCCCAAGAAGAGTTTCTCCATTTTTAGCTAGAAGTTTCTGCGTATCTGCATTGTAGCCAAACTCCTCCTATAAACAAAGAGCAGAGAAAACAAAACTGTAGATCATTTAAAATCACAACATTCATCAGCAACAATACAAAAAAAACACAAACGCACAGATGTGGCAGTTCTTTCACTTCTGTTTGGGTATGGCTATGATTAAACAGATACAATTTCAATATGATATTCAGTTCACATTTTTTATGAAATCTCTCTAACATCAGTAAACCATGGTTGACAACTTTTTTTACTGTACATGACATTAAATCCTATTTTATAATGTGATTTTTCCACACTCAGAAGTCTTGAATGTTACTTAAAAGTAAGCACTAATGTTATCTCTACATTGTCATTCTGTAGGGTTTTAATCCAGCATCTCTCATGTGGCTGTCTAGGTAATGCTTTAATATCAGAGACACCACTACATTAAATACAGTAATATAACCAAATTCACAAGGGCAGAGAGAATTAATTAGCTATTATGTTTTATTCTTACATTCTGGAAAAGAGCACTGCAAAAAATCCTAACATCTATCGCAGTTTAATAGGCTGTAAATAATTGAAGAGCAGAGCATTACAGTGGATAGCAAATAAAAATTATAATGTAGCTCAGCCATAAATTTTAAAGGGACAAGGGCGAAATTATTTCCAAGGCATTTCAGTCACATTTGGATGTATGTTTGCTCATGTCCTTTTGTTAACAGCAGCATAAGCCCTGACCAAGGCTGCAAAGATTTTTTTGTAATGCATGGATGCCAAACGAGTCCAATTATTATGTTTATGTCATCCATATGGCATCTTCATATTCTGCAGATGGGAGTTCTCACAAAAGAGTACAATCTCTGGTTGTAATGGCTGTAAAACACACTAGGTTCATATTTGGAACTTGGGTCTTTTTAGGCTTGCACACTGCCAACAACTGACTCAGAAGCGTTGTATTCTCCCAATTTCCTTTCATTTGTCTAGATCACGAACACCAAAGCCAAATGATATTTCACATTAACATTAACGACTTCATGAAGGTAAGGCTAACGGGCAAGGGTAAAGGAGAATGCTCTAGAAAAGGAGGTGCAGTGGAAGGGAGCACTTTGAAGAAGAAAAAAGTCAGAGAACTTAGGGCAAGGTTTCATAATCTAAGCCCTGTAAACACTGCTAAAAGATCTGTCACCTTTGCTTTGCACAGCTGCTTGGGTGGCAAAAGCAGTCGGCCAAATTACTACAGATCTTCCTGAAATAAAAACAATAGTCTTTTCCAGCTGCTTTGCTCTAGCATTGCCAGCTACACAGTAACACCAGTGCTAGCCCAGGGAAGAAGGAGCATACAGGCAGAGACAACAGCATTAGGACTGCCCCTTTCAGCAGTATTTAGTTCCATCTCTTTTCCCTTCTGCAGGCAAGATTGCAATTAGTTTTCCAGCTGACCCTCTGACATGATGAGCAACACAGTTCAAAGGAAAGGGGTATGAAGGACAGGACTGCAGTGCCCAGTTCTAAGAACCATGCTAGCCACCAAAACTGTCCTCCTACTGGTTCATACAGTTGCATATAAAAACTTTTGAGTTTTGTCCATGACCTCTGCAGATACCTCTTCTGAAACAGACAGGAAATCCTTTCTGTATCAAGAGTTTACACTCAGTTCATAGTCTATGCAGAGGTCAATTAAAACTGGAATTCATCTGTCTATATAATTAGAGGCACATGACCCTGGAACCAGGAGTTATCTTTGTATCCATAAGAGAAACAGCAAAGCATTCACATTAAGTAACACCTCTGCACATACCATATTAAGATCTCATTTTGTTAACATGTATAAAATAAGAAATATTACCTTATGAAGTGATGGGGGTTTTGGTTTCGTTCTTTTAAACTTATATATTGTTATCACGTTAAAGATTAAAGACTAACTGTTCAGAAATTTTAGTCTTGCACAAGTTTTAGAGGCAACAATGCTACCCAAACATCCAAGAAGAATAGGCCAGGCTACAGATGGTAATACAGTACAGATTAAACAAAGGGGAAACACAAAGAGGAAAGAGACAAACATCAGGCAAGTCTCCAAGAGGCAAAGGTTAGATAAATTTTATTACAGCAGCAGAAACCTTTATTTGATTTGCATCAACAGCCCCATTCAATAATCTACACAAGAGAAGAATGACTGAAACAAATTCCAAGACCAAGTACAAGACGCTGAAAGAACCTGGAAGAACAGTATTCCCATTAGAAGTTACAAGCTACTCATGGAAAAAAGACATTCATTAAACAAGAGCATAACACCAGATTTAATCCAAGTTTCAGAAGAAACATCCAGCTCCAGCACATACTTCATTAACAATCCAGAGAATAAGTTCAACTAGAAGATAAGTTCTGCCACAAACCGCATGCCCATATTTGTGTCAAGAGTAAACTGATCATTAAAAACAACTTCTTTTAGCAGATTGTTTAATTTCTTAGCTGCTAGAAGCACTCTACCTTCATGGATTTTTATCTGTCAGACTGTAATACTACATATTCCTGTACTCCAGCACGGGAGTCTCAAACTTTTTCAGCTACCTATCAGATAAGGTTCCTCTGTGCAAGCATGAACTCCACCTCCTCCCTTAAAACTCAATGGGAAGAGACAGTCATGAAAAGGGAAAAATAAACAGACAAAAGGTAATTTGGGCTGTTTCAGCATCTCTCTTTTAAGGAATCATTAAGCCTCTTAATACTGGTTTTCCAAAGGATTAGTAGCAGTATCAAATTGTTTTAACTTTGGAAGTACAGAACAATGAATGTAGAAGCAAGCCAGCTACTATGTTTTGTGCGGAACATCTGCCTTCTCTCTCTTCCTTACAGTAAGCAGTTTTATTATCAGCAAAAAGTGCCACTGTTACACAAACTTCTAAACCATGGAATGATAACAACTCAAATGCAGATATCTAAAGATTGCCTCTCTTGCTCAGAAACTTCAAACAACATAAGAATACCGATTAGTCCTATTAGTAGCAAAATTCTGATTTAAGAAGGACTTTGTGATGAAATCTCAATGCTTGTATATGCTACAGAACAATAATTTACTCACATTCAATGTGCACAAGTGAAGTAATGTTCCCTACTCTACTTACTCTCAGGCATATTCCCCAAAGACATCCTGTAATTGAAATGATGTAACACTCTGGAACACTTTGACATCTCATTAGAAGCAGAATGAATAGTAAGATGCATTTTCTATACAAAGGAAAGGTGTCAGTTCTTGTGTCCAAACATTAACTAAAGGTAAACATTTAAGAAACAATAAAAAACTACAGAAATTCCAATAATTTCCTATAGTTTTAAGTGAATTACATAAGCTTTTAACACAAAGAGCATATAATATATCGTTAACTACGTTTAGAAAAATAGCTGCTAACTCCTCCTATATACCGTGCACGAGTCAATTAGGCTTATCTTCATCTCTGCCATTGATTTTTTAACACTATAAAAGTCTTACATGAAGTTCCAATGATTTCAAACTCAGGTCAGCAAATGCATCTCCAAGTTGCCTTTGGGTATGCACCATCTGGAAGAGTTGTGTGGACAGCGTCTGTGCCAGTTTCAAGATATTTTCATATTTTTTTTTGTTATCTCTCAATATATCTATCTGAGCTTCTAGTTCCAGATCTACTGTTCTTGAGCCACGACCCAGTTTTTCAGAGATGATCTGACGTGTGCACTGGGGAAAAAAAAATTAAATTATAAAGAATCAAGTATATTCAAGACAACATGGCATACACCCATTTTCGGCTTCAAGGGACATATAATTACACGCAATTCTTTCACAATCACCCCTCCCAATGTAAGTTTGCACAACAAACTGAAAAAACAACACACTCTTTAGAAGTTTATCAGGACTCAGCAAGAACAGTTGGACAAGTCTCAACTTCTACTAAGATGAATATTCAAGTTAGCAAATCAAGAGCATAACTAATTGTTTCTCAAGTAAAAGAACTCCTATCTCTTTTTAGGTTTGGTGAATCTCATTAAGTTAAAAGAAGGAATTTAGCCACTGCATTAAAGTCAGTTAATGCGAGTATTTCTAGTTCTGCATAAAAATATCTAGTTAACGATCTCTTGGGCTTTGTCTACCAACCATTCAATTCCAGATCATCCAGGTTAGGTTTTCCAAAAATGTTTTTTTTTTTTTTTTTTTTTTGGGGGGGTGGGTTGTTTTTTTTTTTGTTGTTTGTTTGTGGGGTTTTTTTTGGGGGGGAGGGGTGGCGTGTGTGTGTGGTATGGGTAAGGAGGTGGTGGTTTTCAGCATGTTTTTTAAAGCTGACTAGGAAACTGGGAACTCCTACTGAAAATTATGTAAAACTATTAAAATACATTTTTCATTATTTACACATCTATAAAATGGAGCTGATTGTCTCAAAGACTTACTATTTCTTTTTTGTCACAAGTCAAATTCTTAACAGATTTGCAGCTCATCACAGTGAGCAGAAGACATGCTCTTACAAGGCTGTAGACACTTTCACCCAGCCAACGGCTGTGACAACTGAGGCTCCTACCACATTCCACTTATCTGTGACACCTTCTCTGCCAGAGATTTAAGCCCAACTTGGCAGTGAGCCTCCCAAGAAGCACATTTGGGTTTCCCTTGACTGAGACATTGAGAAGCCATTGGCACAGCAGATGCGCAGCAAAGCCAATGTGTAGCAAAGCCATACAATTTATGGAGAGCAGGAATTATTTCCTGTTATAGTAAGTTACTTGAAGCTAATCTGTGGTCCCAAGAGCTGAAGGGATAACCAAGTTACACACATGAAGAATTGCTGATAGAAACAGAACTACAAGGAAACTAAGATAGTAGTCAATGCCACAACTACTCTGAAGGGACTTCACTTAAGTGCAAAGCTGCTGTTTTGTTAAGTGAAATAATGTCCGAACCTAACTTATATCACATTCCCAAATACATTACATCACTAGATTTCCCAGGGTTTCCAAATTCAAGGACTTTAGTTTAATCCAGTCTTTACTCACATCCAAAGGAGATACACATTTAACCTGCTAGAACTTTTATGTCCTTTCCGAATTTAATAGACAAACACAGGAAAGACTTAAGAAAGCAGAATGAGTTAGTCATAACTCATAAGCTTTAGATTGCGAGGTACAGACTATTTGGGCTACTTCACTAGATCCAATCAATTAACAAGACAGAGTACAGCTAATCTAGGAGACATTTGTCTGTCGGGGATCAGAAATTTGGGAGAGTATAACAAATCATATCAACACAGAATACAACTTTACTACCAAAGTCTGGAACAGAAATTGCAAAATACAGCTTAGCAATGAGCGTGGTCAGAGCATAAGTAAGCATTTCACCAGGAACTATGGAATTGATAGACAAGTTTTGGCTATTTCCCAAAAAAGCTGAGACACAAACATGCACCTATGGAAATGCAAGAGAAAAATCTGAATCATGGAGGCAACATGTTTGGAAGCAAGAATGAATTACAAAGGAAGGAAATATTTTCAATCAAGAAGTATTTGCTTCAGAAGTTACAACACAACACCTAAAGAATACCAATAGTGACAAACGAGAAAAAACAGTAGTTTGAAAGATACATACTGCACACTTTGCTAAACTGAGATGTAGCTAAAGTTGAATAGAGACTGAACAAGAATAATCACAGAATGGTTTGGGTTGGAAGGGGCCTCAAGGATCATCTAGTTCCAACCCCCCTGCCATGGGCAGGGAAACCCTCCACTACACCAGGTTGCCCAAAGCCTCATCCAACCTGGCCTCGAACACTTCCAGGGATGGGGCATCTACAACTTCTCTGGGCAACCTGTTCCAGTGCCTCACCACCCTCTGAGTGAAAAATTTCTTCCTTATATCCAATCTAAATCTGCCCTCTTTCAGTTTAAATCCATTGCCCCTTGTCCTATCACTACATGCCCTTGTAAAAAGTCCCTCTCCAGCTTTCCTGTAGGCCCCCTTTAAGTACTGGAAGGCTGCTATAAGATCACCCTGGAGCCTTCTCTTCTCCAGGCTGAACAGCCCCAACTCTCTCAGCCTGTCTTCATAGCAGAGGTGCTGCAGCCCTCAGATCATCTTCGTGGCCCTCCTCTGCACCCGCTCCAGCAGCTCCATGTCCTTCTTGTGCTGGGGACTCCAGAGCTGAACACAGTGTTCCAGCTGGGGTCTCACGAGAGCAGAATAGAGGGGCAGAATCACCTCTGTTGACCTGCTAGCCACGCTTCTTTTGATGCAGCCCAGGATATGGTTGGCTTTCGGGGCTGCCAGCACACATTGCCGGCTCATGTTGAGCTTCTCATCCACCAGCACTCCCAAGTCCTTTTCCTCAGGGCTGCTCTCAATCCATTCTCCACCTGGCCTGTACCTGTGCTTGGGATTGCCCTGACCCATGTGCAGGACCTTGCACTTGGCCTTGTTGAACTTCATGAGGTTCTCACAGGCCCACCTCTCCAGCCTGTCAAGGTCCCTCTGGCTGGCATCCCTTCCGTCCAGGTGTCCACAACACCACACAACTTGGTGTCATCTGTAAACTTGCTGAGGGTGCACTCGATCCCACTGTCCATGTCACCAACAAAAAGAAGATGCACCTATCTATTTTGATTTACTCTGGTTCTAAGTGGACTAGTACAGACACGTAAGTTGCTGTATATTCTCACCAGCAAACAGAAATTTCCACACATTAATTCCATTTCACTTAGTTCTAAAAGACTTTAGTAGCCCAGTACTAAAGACAGGCTTGCAAAACAGGTATATTTTTTTTTCCTCAAAGTTTAAGAAGTTGCACAAAAACAAAAGGATAAGCTTTTTATTAGAATTGTTGAAAGTCAAGAAGAGTCACAACTTTCTTGTGCCTATGTCTTCTTGCTAAACTGGAAACACTTTACTCATTCAAAAGGAGAGGCAGGGGAAGGGAAAAGAACAGAAAAAGTTCTTGCCACTAGATTATGGGAAGAAGGGCAATTTCGTTTGACACTAACTTATGATTACTAAGAAGCATAAGATTGGAGCGAGTGAAGAGGCAGTAGTTGCAAAGGTGACAGAATAATCTTACAAAGTTATATGTTACAGGAAAAAGTTGAATATAGTCTAGGAAAATTCATAGTTAGGCTAGACAGAAGAGCAGCTTTAACCTCTTGTGATTTTCAACTGGAAACAGTCTCTTAAAACAGAAATAAACGTAGGAGACAACAAAAGTAATTGTCTCTCATTCATAGAAACATGTACAGGACAAAAAGCAAGGTCCTCAGAACATATAAAGGCATGCTTAATCATCTCTTCACAGATGGGTATGACAATGTATCCAATAATTCGGATATCACAACTTCCGATACAGACACAGCGACAGAGGAATTACTTATGCCAGACCCCTAAAGAACCTCCTAACAGCAAGTTTCACCATTGCCTTCACTTGCAGATTAACGTCTGGGACATCGAATAGCATGGCTTTCAGCTCAGAGGGGTTCAACTGCTCACTCTCCTCCACTCACCATTTACTCCTGCTCTTTATTTTTGCATCTTCGAATCATAGAATCATTCACGTTGGAAAAGACCTTTAAGATCATCAAGTCCAACCATTAACCTAACACTGCCAAGTCCACCACTAAACCATATCCCTAAGCACCACATCTATACGTCTTTTAAATATCTCCAGGGATGGTGACTCAACCACTTCCCTGGGCAGCCTGTTCCAATGCTTGATAAACCCCTTCCGTGAAGAAACCTTTCCTAGCGAAACTTGAGGCAGTTTCCTCTTGTCCCATCGCTTGTTACTTGGGAGAAGAGACCAGCCCTCACCTCACTACAAGCTGCCTTCAGTAGTTGTAGAGAGTGGTAAGGTCTCCCTCAGCCTCCTTTTCTCCAGGATAAACATGAGATTTGTGCTCTAGACTCTTCACTAGCTTTGTCACCCTTTTTTGGACACAGTTCAGCACCTCAACGTCTTTTTTGTAGTGAGGGGCCCAAAACCGAACACAGTATTTGAGGTGCAGCCTCACCAGTGCTGAGAACAGGGGGACAGTCGCTTCCCTAGTCCTGGTGGCCACACTGTTTCTCATATGAGCCAGGATGCTATTGAATATGAGCATACTGCCAGCTCATATTCAGTTGGCTGTCAACCAACACCCTCGGGTCCTTTTCCACTGGGCGGCTTTCCAGCCACTCTTCCCCAAGCCTGTAGCATTGCATGGGATTTACTTTGACTCAAGTGCAGGACCCATGACTTGTTGAATTTCATACAATTGGCCTCAGCCCATCGATCCAGCCTGTCCAGATCCCTCCCTCTGTAGACCTTGCCTTTCCTCAAGCAGATCAACACTCCCACCCAATCTGATGTGGTCTGCCAACTTACTAAGAGGGCACTCAGTCCTCTCATCCATATAATTGAGAAAGACATTAAAGAGAACTGGTCCCAACACTGAGCCCTGGGGAACACCATTTGTCACCAGCCGCCTGCTGGATTTAACTCCATTCACCACAACTCTTTGAGATCAACCATCCAGTCAGTTTTTTTCCCAGTGAAGCACAGGCCCACCCAAGCCATGAGCAGTCAGTTTCTCCAGGAGGATGCTGTGGGAAACAGTGTCAAAGGCCTTACTAAAGTCTAGGTAGACAACTTCCACAGCCTTTCCCTCAACCATGAAGTGGGACATCTTGTCATAGAAGGAGATCAGGTCAGTCAAGCAGGACCTGCCTTTCATAAACCCATGCTGATGGGGCCTGATCATTTGGTTGTCCCATACATGCCACGTGATGTCACTCAAGATGACCTGCTTCATAACCTTCCCTGGCACTGAGGTCAGATTAACAGGCCTGTAGTTTCCCAGGTCCTCCTTTTAGCTCTTCTCATAGATGAGCATCACATTTGCTAACTTCCAGTCAACTGGGATCTCCCCAGCTAGCCAGGACTGTCAATAAATGATTTAAAGTGGCTTGGTGAGCACGTCTGTCAACTCCCTCAGTACCCTTGCATGGATCCCACCTGGCCCCATGGACTTGTGTGCGTCTAAGTGGTCTAGCAGGTCTCTAACCATTTATTTGGATTATGAGGCCCTCATTCTGCTCTCCATCCCCATCTTCCAGCTCAGGGGGGCTGAGTATGCAGAGAACAACTAGTCTTACTATTAAAGACGGAGGCAAAGAATGCATCAAGTACCTCAACCTTTTCTTCATCCTTTGTCACTATGTTTCCCTTTGCATCCAATAAAGGACAGAAAATACACATGAATTGAAGCAACAGTTCCAACACTAAGAAAAAACAATCAGCCAAGACAGAACAAAATCATCAGAATAGCAATTAGTGAGTATGGAACTTGTAGATGGGCCTGACTTTTTCCCCATTAGCTAAGCTTTTATTCTATCAGCAATAAACTCAAAGATAGCAAAAAGATTTAATTACAAGTGTTAGTGCTGAAATCTGTACATTCTGTATGTGGAAGGGGACATCAGAAATGGAACATTCATAGGTATTATTGATTCAAGGTAAAGAAAGATTTCCCACTTAAAACTAGGGATTTAAAGACACTTACAAAGAATGCTACTCTTGGAAGAAAAACTAAGCCTTCCCTATGCATTCTTGCTTATGCTCACTGCAACAACAGACTACTTTCACACCGTAGTACAATACTTTGAAAGTTTTAGTCATGCTCGTTTCTAGGATACATACATACACACACAAATATATGTCTGCATACCTTGTAAGTGTTTAGGCTCCACTTTCTCACCAATTCCAATTTCTCCATTGCTGGATTCTTTACTTCATCTGCTAACACAACAGGTCCACTCTTCTGCTGAGCTCTGCCACCTATGTCAGACACAACGCAAATCTTCAAGGCCTTGGTTGTGTTTTTGGTTTTTTTTTATTTATTTTTTTTTCTTTTAAGGGATTAACAGCAGGTATGGAAGATTTGTGCAATTGTACATGCAAAAGCAGAGCAAGGTGACAGTGAGAACTTAAGACAAATATGCAGATTTACAAAATGAATTCCAGAAAGAAAGAATTATTTTAAAGCCGATATAAAGTGTGTATGTATCTCTGTATTTCATGTAGTAACAGGCTGAATAAAGCTTACCTGAATGCAGAGTTTTATTAACCAACCTTAAAACAACTTTTGAGACATGTTTATTACTTAATCTGTTTTATAATTCCAACAGTTGAACACTCTCTTGGATTTAGCCAATGTAAAAGTCTGTTTACAACCTGCAGACCATTAAATGAAAATTATCGGCACATAAAAAAACTGTTTTGAAATGTATTAGCTGTACTCTGTGACAACAGTTTTTATCTTTTCCATTAAAGGCCATCCATTCTAGAAGATGTGTTCAGTCAATATTCAACTTATTTATTTCAGCTTTATTACCTCATTGTAAACAAACAAAGAAAAGATTTAAGGCAACAAATTAAAATATCTGAGACCAATCACCACACATAAAAATGCTAAGTATCGGCAATTAAAGTTAATATGGGCTATCACATGAATTTTAAGTTTTAATTTTGAAAAAATACTTCTTAGTGTCCTAAATAGTAAGAACTGCAAAGCACCATCACTTTTTAAGCAACATTTTTATTTATTCATGTACAATTTTGACTACTCCTGCCTCTTAATTCCTACTGCTACTTAAAATCATCTTAGCCCCCACAGAATATTTATGTAAATAAGAGTTTGGAAACAAGTCTATATAGACGCCTCAAGACACTCCTTTAGCACCAAGCTCTACTATGTTCTTCATGTCTTGAAAATGCTCTGCAAACATTTAATAATTAATCCTCTCAACAGCCTTATGAGGTAACCGAATAGGTTTTCTCCTTTTATACAGGAGGAAACAGATGAAGATGTTAAGTAATTTGCCCATAGGCGCAACATGAGTCAAGTGGCAAAGCCTAGTTTGGGTGTTGTGAATTCCTAATGGCCACTTCATACTCTGTTCTATGTGATCATCTTGGCAAAAAACACCAGAAGTTGCAGCTTTAACACAAATAAAAGATTTTGGTTACTCCCATTTTAGCTACTGTTTGTTATGATTAATATTTGATAATTATTTTTTACATTTTATAGAGCAAAAAGCAGCATACAGAAAGGAAAGCAGAGGTTACTTTTTGAACTGTTAAAAGCCAGAAATGAGAGCCACCAAAAAACCCCAGAAGTTATATTTCCAACTAACAGTAAATCAAATTATTATAGACATGGAAGAGTTAGTACAGTGTCAGCAGAGACAAGGGCGTTATCCATTCAGTGCTATGATACCTGTGGGAATAATTAAATCACAACCTTGTCCAGCCAGTCTGCTAGCTGCTGCACTGCTAGGAGATATAACAGATGATTTGGGTGATGCTGAGGAACCTGAAAAGGGGACATATTTAACCATGAAAATTCATTATCTTCCCTTCGAAGGCAATGTGCACTTTTACACAGATAGGGTTGGTTTTTTTTTTTCAAAACAAAGAAACATTTGCTTCAGCAACACACTAAATAGAAGCATTCACGGAAAAGTTGCTGGAATTTCTGATGGAAATGCTTTTTAAGCAGTGCAGCTGTTCATGTGAACTACTCCAAGTTTTCATGATTTAATCTTTTTCTCTAGATCATGATGCCAAACTTTTTTTTTGTAGTAAAAGTAATCGAAATACAACTGACAGCTTAATCAGTAAAGTATACACTATCAACAGAAAAATCCATAAAAGATTGTTATATACAGCTTCCACAGCTGAAACCTCCTTTTTCAGGTCTAAGTAGATTTCACCCTGCACTGTCACTGAATGGTACTCACAGCATTAAGGGATGAATTGAAAATTCATCTGAAATCTGTGCCAATTTCAGATGTATTTGATTAACGTCTGCTTCTAAGTCTGTGTAAACACACAGCAATAAGCTATCCTGAAGATCGTATGAGCCATTAGCTGTTAAGGTGTGCAATCTCCTTCTCAAAAGAAGGATTTTACAGCACTTGCTTGTTCTCGTTAAAAAAAACAAAACAAAACTGAAAACAAATCCAACCTTAAACTTTAACCTGTATCGTGTGTGTTCTCTAAGCTGTTTTATGATGCTTTCCAGAGCTTTGCAACTCTTTCATATCACATAAATGTGAAATGCCATTCTTATTTGTTTGGTTTTTAAATCCTGAAAAGTTCATAAATCAGCTTCTTCTCTGCAGTGATGAGTAATCATCACACTGGAAGGGAGCTTTTATTGTTTTTGCTGAAAATTCTGAGATACTTCAGGGCTGACAGCATGCTGGAGGAAAGGGAAACCAAACCTAAACTTTAGCAGCTTCAACAAAATTTAGTTATCAGTAACACCAAAAACATCACTCAAAGTAACTAAATTGACAATCAGCTTTGACCTTCTAAACATACTACAGAGAAGTACTAACATGCAGTACAATTAATCCAGCTATTTGGATCCAATTGAACAGAAAAGACGAGATCGAAAGATAGTTGACTTGCTGTGCCGTCTGTAGCGATACATTGCTTAAGAGCTGTATCTGGATTCATCCAGGCATAGAAGTCTGACTGCAAGATCCTGCTAAAGGCCTAAAGACTGAATCACTTCAGCAAGCGAGCTAAGACAAGTAGTTTAAAAAATCCTTATCATTTGACAGAGTATTAATGCAGCCTTATGCATGCTTCATCATTCAACATCCCCTAAATCCTAAAAGCCCTTCCCCTCCAGTATTGTCTACTTTTGAGTGTCCTTAGTAGGTGTCACAGTAGGGCTTCCTTTTTGAATGCAAACAGAAAATTGAATTTTTAGAAATATGGCAATCATTCTACTTTGTCCATAGTTTCATAAGAAGCCTTAGTTTCTACCACTTCTCCCTCTCTCTGATTTGGTTAGAGCATTCGGAAAAATCTGAAGAAAATATCCGTGGAGGAAACCTGTGATATCTAAAGTGTTAAAAATTACATCTCCAAACCTCATGATTTGTGTACATAACTTACTACAGAACATTTGGATTTCAAACATGATAGTGTAGCTTGAAACAGATCTTAGACGCTTTTTCCCTTACAGGCTAATGCACTTAACAGCTGCAACAGTTATCCTGCTAATAGAATACAAAAAGGCAAGAACAGTGAGCAGTGTGCCATCTGCCTAGTTTTCAGCTAGGTATTTTGCTAATTTCAAAGACTTAAAGAAACCACAGCATTCACTTTGCAATATATGTAAAGTACAGCATGTAAATCACTGTTTTCACAAGCACAACATTTCACCAAACAGGAAGTGAAGCAAAATGTAAATTAAACCAATGACTACAAAGAGTCTTATTTTCACAGCTGCTCATCTGAGATAATTTCAAAACTTTCAAATTCAGAAATCATCGAAGCTATGTAATTCATTAAAATATCACTTTCGCATACTATAGTACGGCACTACTGTTTTTAGACAGATAGGAAATACTGACATTACTGGCTTGTTTATTACTGTTTTTCTCATAGTTTAATACTAGATTAGATTTTCTAAAACATGCATTAATACTTGCATAGTGAATATTAAATCAACTAAAATCCTTCTGTTATAAATAAGCATAACACTGTGCTAAGAAAATACGAAAACAGACACTTTTTCATTAGGTGGTACCTGGAAAAAGAGACTCAGAGCATTATCACTCCTAACAACAATACATCAAAGTACTATCTGTGCTACAACAAAAAAAAGGAGAGAAGTCTCAGGGCAACAAAGAAGAAATCGTCATTAATCTGCTCTAAGTGAGTGAACTGCTTATCAAGAAACAAATAACTCTCCAGTTATGTTTCAAATCAGAACAATACCTGCAACATTTAAAGAAAACTTCAAAGCAATATAATAGTAAAATTCTTCAGTCTGACACCATTTCAAGATGCTCAAGGACTTCCTTTCCTGTAAAAGCAGATCAACCTAACACTAAGTAGTTTTCACCAGTCCCTCGACAGATGCTACAAGTGCAGCACACATTCTCTATTTTAGCAACCCAGCTACCAGAGAAGATAAACAGGCTGTCACTAATGCACACCTCAATGTGTGTGTGTGTCACTAATGCACACCTCAATTTACACCAAAATGCTCAAAGCAGCTACAGAACATTGTATTCCTGACTACACAAAAACATGTCTAACGATTTTAAATCGAGAAATAAAGACAAAAAAGCAGTTACCTTTACCTGGAAATGGTCCTGCCTCAATGACTCCCTCTTTGGTGCTGTCAAAGCCATGAGATGTTATTTTGGTTTCAGAAAGGCCAAGTCCAACTGGTAATGAACGTTTCAAGTCCTTGGAAATATTTGAATAAAAATGGAAAGTTAATGTTTAAAAAAAAAGATAAAAGTGACTCAAAAACATTATAATGCAATTTCAGCAGCTCTCAGACAGGCAATTCTGCCTTCAGCCTGGAATGTCTTTGCAGGTATCACAGCAATCTACTGTAATGCACAAATAAATGAATGAGAAACACTGCAAGTATAGCCTATGTATTTCTCCTATTATTTTTTTTATATTGATGAACAACTAGAATGTCATCTCTTAGAGCAGCAGTTACCAAAAATGTGGTATCAACATCATGCTATGATCTGAAGCTGGTCCAAACAATCCTATCAGTTTGATAATGTTTCCAGTTAAAAACTGACAGGGGTACAGAATGATCTCAGACTAAGAGCAGACAACATTTTACAAACCAAAAACGTGGAGCAACTATCATACAATAAAGATTATATATATACATATATATGTATTTCACTCTAAGAAAGAAATTGCTTTAAAATTCACAGCATCTTTAACTTCTACAAGCTGCACATTAAATTTCTTTAATATTTGGCATGGGAGAAACATCCAGAAAGGCATCG